ATCGGCCGGATTGTGCATCATCAATTGGCGCCGTCTGTGGGAACGCTTCAAAAGGCCTCCCTCCAAAACTTTCACACCCCTTTCTTCTTCTTTGAGAAACTCAATACTCATGGCCTCCTCCAGCAACGCCAGACGCGGCACAGAGACAAACACCACCGAGGAACAGCCTCAAGTTCCCGTGGTGTGTGTTGGRCAGTTCACCATCCCCCTCTCGGTGGACGAAATTCCCAATCTGAATACGTCACAAGCAGTGGCGCCTGTAAACCAACCTGCCACAAACATCCCCTTTCCTCTCCCCATCGAAACTACCCTCACCGAACCAACCGCCATCCCCTTGGCAGCTAGCCAAAATCGGTTGGACGACCTAATGCAGTGCATGCGGGCAATACAAGCCCAGATGCAACAATTCCAACAACACCAGCTTCACCAGCACCAAGTGTTGCACAACCTCTCCCAATATCACTATCAACAGCAGTTCCCCCAACTGCCACCGAACCAACCATTACTTCCACCTCGCCACCCTGCTCCGAAGCCGGTCAAGGCCTCTCCGCAGGATGGACGCTTCCACCAAGGAAAGGCCTCCAGGCCCCAGATCCCCCCAAACAGCCAGGTCTCATCCCCAGGCCGGAGAGAGAGAAAAGTCATCCCCGCCTCGCAGCTCGCAGGTGGGTCAGGAACCTCACCCGCGAGATCGGCACCTCGAGGCTCCAAACCGGAGTTCCCACTCGTGGAAAACCGATTCGGCGCACTGGCAGCAGCGGACTACCAGCACTCCGGGCCCATCGAGCTCGGCAACACGGAGGCCAGCAGCGCCAGTACAAGGCCTACTCAGCAGCGAAGGCGCCGTCGAGGTCGACGAACCACCAAACGCGTCCTGTCAGAGCTCAGAGGCAAAGGCGAGACGAGCTCAAAGGCAAAGGGTTCAAATGGACCCAAGACTGTCAGCTCGCGTTTGACGAGCTAAAAGGCTACCTCGCCAGTGTGCCAACCTTAGCTAGGCCGGAGGAAGGCGAAGTCTTAGAACTGTACCTCTCGACTAGCGACAAGGTGGTTAGTTCGGTACTAGTAAAGGAAGCAAACCGGGTCCAACGACCCATATATTATGTTAGTAAAATCTTGCAGGGAGCAGAGACAAGGTACCCGCAGATAGAAAAGCTAGCGTATGCACTGGTGGTAGCAGCACGGAAACTCCACCCGTACTTCCAGGCTCACACCGTCATCGTCCTGATCGATAAACCTCTGAGACAAGTTTTACTCAAACCCGAGGTTTCCGGCCGGCTGACGAAGTGGGCCATCGAACTCAGCGAGTACGATCTCCAGTACAAGCCAAGAACTRCCATYAAGGCCCAAGCCTTGGCAGATTTTATCGCAGAATGCACGTTTAGCC